ATGATCTCCAAATTCAGGTGGGATATATTCAAGGTCATATTTTGGCTCTTGTGGACTTGTTTTCATTTTCTTCAGCTTCAGTTTGAATTTGCATATCAGTAATTGATAGTCTGTTCTACAGTTTGCCCCTGGCCTTGTTTTCACCGATGATATGGAGTTTTTCCATCTTCTCTTTCCACAGATGTAGTCAATTTGATTTCTGTGTGTTCCATCTGGTGACGTCCATGTGTATAGTCGTCTGTTGTGCTGTCTAAAGAAGGTGTTTGAAATAAACAAATCATTTGTGAAAGATGTTGACTTGGGACATGTTGTTAACTGCATTTTTAAAATAGTAACAACAACAAAGAATATCAGATTTTCAATAGCAAAAAGGGAAGCTGGAAGAAAGTAGAATGATACCTTACCAGTGCTGAAAGTAATCTGCCTATCTAGAATTGTTAAGCAAAAAAAAAATTTGAAGAACTAGGTCAAAATAGGAGTTCAAGTGTGGTGCTGTAAGATAAGTAAAGAAGAGCAAGGTTGGTTTGAATTGCAAAGTTGGTGGCTCAAACTCACTGGTCACTCCCCTAGGAAACCCTACCCATGCTATGAGTCAGAACTGACTTGATAGCACTTAACAACAACAGGTTAAACTAACATTCTCAAATGAACAAAAGCTGAGTTTTTGTTCATTTTAGAATGAACACTTCCAGAGTCATACTGTAGGAGTTTCTATAATGGGTACCTTACAAAGAAAAAAGTTTGCATGGGAAGCAACATGGTGCAGTTAGGAATGCTGGTAAAATGTGGATAAATCTACATACAGTGACAATATTAAATACTGAAAACAATGACTACTTTATGGAGATACAAAACAAACAAAATAACTAGATAGCACTAAAATTCTGAAGAACCACTGTAAATAAGAACATTGATTTCAAAACCCTATATTGTTCATATAATGAGGGCAAAGTTATTAACTTTTAAGTTTTATTAAGTTGTGCGCATGAGTACTGAAGGTTCAAAGTAGAATATAAGAGGATGCAATTTATCTGTAATTACAATTTTTGTAAATGGATTACACTCTCCAATTAAGATATCTAAAAACAAAAACACAATGTTGTTGTTCAGTGCTACTGAGTCTGAACCAACCCATAGCAACCCTGTATAGGGTTTCCAAGGAGCAGCTGGTGAGCCTGAATCACCGACTTGCAGTCTAGCACATTAGCCTACAACACCACACCAGGACTCTGTACCTATTACCACACATTTTTAATATAAAAACAACAGAACGCAAGAAAGGGACACATCCATCAACATAGTGGGATATGCTAATACTGATGTTGTTAAGTGCTGTCCTTCAGACTCATAACAATCTTGTGACCAGTCTTGTGGCCAGCAGTCTAGTGCATATCCTACAGCACCACAGCAGGACTCTGGGTATGTTACACTTGTCTTTAAATAGTAGGTAAAAGTAGGCTAAAGAAACAAAAACACATCATTAAAGCTAGAACTCCGTAAGAAATAATCTGGATCTAAGCAACACATGAACCTTATGCCTCACATTGGTTCCTGGTGTGGCACTGTACTACTAAGGCTGCTATAAAACCACCAGCTGCATCTTGGAATCCTTTGACAGGGTTGCTGTGCTGTAAGTTGAAAAGGACTGGACAGCACTAATAACAATTCCTTGACTGCACTTAACAAGAACAAATTCTTTTAAAGTATCTATGGCACATTTATGAAAACTCACTATAAAGCATACAGCAAATGAGAAAACTGTA